ACACAGTTTCTTCTTCACACCCGTAGCATTAGATGAACTCCGTTGTACAATTAATAGTATTAAAAACAAATCCTCATCTGGGAATGATGGGCTTACTCTCAAAATGATCTCTGAACTTACTGAACGCACATTAAACCATCTTACTACTTTAATTAACGAGTCATTTCAAAAAGGAGTTTTTCCAAACTGCCTTAAGAGCAATAATTATAATTATTGCTCTGTATAAAGGAGGTGATAAAGATGAAGCTTCGAACTATCGCCCAATTGCACTCCTGCCCACATTATCTAAGATCATTGAAAGATTGGTTAAAAAAAAGTTTCTATCTTTTCTCCTTAAATATAAAATACTTACTACCCATCAATTTGGATTTCTAAGTAACAGTTGCACAAATGATGCTATGTTCGACCTTTTTTAATAATGTATATTCTAGCCTGAATAACCATCACTCTACAGCTACAATTTTCTGTGATTTCTCTAAGGCTTTCGATTGTGTAAATCATAATATCTTAATTAACAAATTGCAATATTATGGTTTCAGGGGAGTGCCGCTCGAATGGCTTAAGTCATATCTTGGCAACAGAAGGCAGCTTGTGAGGATTGATACGTCTATGTCTTCTTGTAAGCCTATAGAATGTGGCGTCCCTCAGGGTTCAGTACTTGGCCCTATTTTGTTTCTGGTGTTTATCAACGACATTGCAAATCTAGACATTAGCGGTAAAATGTGCCTCTTTGCGGACGATACTAGTTTCACTTGGAGCGGCCCAGATGTTGCGGCATTATATGATACTATATCCAGTGACACCGTTAAGTCTTGGTGCGATTCTAATCTCCTATGCCTCAACCTATCAAAACTAAAGTTTTGTCATATAAAAGTACTATACAACCTTTTCTACTTAATAACACCACTAATGACGTCGTGGACTCTGTGAAATTCTTAGGACTTGTTGTAGACAATTTGTTAAAATGGGACTTTCACAGCGAAGCTCTATCAAAGCAACTAAGCGCTGCTTGTTTTGCGCTAAGATCAGTTTATAAGGAACTTAACTTCTCAACCTCTAGAATAGCCTATTATGCCCTTTTTGAGTCACATCTTCGTTATGCCCTTCCATTCTGGGGTACTTGTTGCGCAACAAAATTTGATCGTGTTTTCAGACTTCAAAAGATAGCAGTTCGATATTTATTGGGAAGATATTTATTGGGTTCGATATTTATTGGGACTGAACAGTAGAACTCACGGCCAGAATTTCTTTAAAAATTTGAAAATACTGACTCTTCCTTCTTTATCCATTTTTGAATCCGTTTGCTTAATCCGCAAGCACATATCTGCTATTCCCGAAAGACCATCTCATAACTATCCACTTAGGAATGCAGAGCACGATCTTTATCTGCCAACCCCGAGCTCAGAACTAGTTAAAGGTTCAATACTGTACAATGCCAAAAAAATGTACACTCATCTGCCTTTGAATATCAAGTCGCTTTCATTCGTTCCCGCATTTCGCAAAGCTCTAAAATCATACTTACTGGAGAGAGCCCTATATGCAGTAAACGACTATTTTGTTGATGTTTAATTATGAAATAAATTTTGAATTTTAAAATTTTGACCATCTCACACACTGGTCAAAGGTCAAGTATTTAATATTTTATAACTCTAAAACTATATCTATTTACTGCGTACTGTTCTAAAATTATCCATGTATATTCTTTTTGTAATTTTAAAGACTTAATTTTTTTTGAATTGTATTATTTGTATTGTGTATTTTTTGTTGTTTGTGTTTTTTGTGATTTTGTTGTTTGTGAGTGCTTTGTCGATGAAGCTGTTTTGGCTTTTAGTACAATAAAGCGTTGTTTGTTGTTGTTGTTATTTCGAGTCAAAGTGTCATTATGAACCGCATGTTACTAGTTCAAATAAACCATATACGAAAATGTCAAAAGTTGCAAAAAATGCCAAATCTCGTTCATTTGTCTGAAAAAAATAAAAAGTTATAAGGGTGAGGCACTTTTGAAAAGCACCCGGTATATTAACAATATCTAACTATCCATCTTACTAAAAAAACTCTAAAGACATTCGTATAAGCTCCAACACATCTGTATTTCTTAAACTTCGGAAAGGAATGCTGTCATGGCGTTTTAGTGCTGGTAATAAATCGTGTTTTTCATGCACAAAGCCTCTTAGAAAACAGCAGAGAGCAAGTTTTAAATATTTCATTATTCCAGTTTAGAAAACGGTGCTCTAGCTGCTCCGACGAGACCGTCGAACTACGTAGTTTCGAACTGCATAAAATAAATTTAATGCAGGTGCAAGTGCAGTTAATTGAAAGTGGAGAACGCCAAAGAAATTTAATACTAATGGACTTTGTTCGATGCGAGTCTATGGGGATTCGAGATAGAGAGCAGTAATTGCTGAGTAATTAATAAAACAAAGCTGTGCTGATTTCTTCGGTAGTGTTGTTTAAATGCATTACAAAAAGAACTGTAAAGTTTGTACGATTATTTTTAGAGGAAAAGTACAATAATATGATTTTTTTGTGTACAGGGTGGGTCTTAAATAAGTGCAAATATTTCAGGGCTGGTAGATATCGATGAACGAAACATATTTTCTCTTAGTCTAAAATAACAGAGATATTTTGCTTTGAAAATTTAAAAAAATTGATTTTCGCTTAAATTTTGAGAACCGCTGAATCTTTTCTGGGTTGTCCTTCTTGTAAATTTAATCTACTACCTATGTTGTCATATTGTAAAGATATGTTTTTTCACTAAAAATTAAAAACATTTCCAAAAAATTTAAAAAAAATATTGTAGTTGTGTTTTCTGTTTCGACAACAAACTAGAAACTCGAAGTCTACCAAAAGCTGTAAAAACTAATGCAGGGCAATGGGGTTAAAGACTCTGGGTGCAGACATTTTGGGCTTACCAGTATCACAGACCAGTATGATTGTAGCTACCATGAAAAATCGTTCGAAAACAAGGTTTTGAAAAATCAGGTTTCTTAATAAACCAAAGTCATTTAAAGTATTAAATCACTCTACAGGGTGGTCCGAACTGTATTCCCGAAACTTCGGCAGCATATTCTGCAGATAAAAATAAGTAAAAAAGTTCGTATAAATGTATGTATTAAAATGCTTAGTTTCCGAGATACCCTGTATAGAAGTTTCATTTTTATTTCGATTTTTTCCACGGAATTTCTGAAGTAACGTCAATATTTGGATGAAAATTGGTATCTGTGAGTTTTTTGACATGAGAAATTTGATTTTGATGTCAATATGATTCCTACTTGTAGAGGGCGCCACCTACACATTTTTTAACTGGGTTGAAGAGTAATATCTTTTCGTCCGTATCTGTATAAAACTACCGAGTAAAAAATATATATTTACCACGTTTTTTACGTGAAAAAAGTGAGTAATGGTTCTCGAGATATTTAGAATCGAAATTATCGATACCTGTCATCATTGACATAAATTAAACATGTTGACTAAATAGTTATTAGACTGATTTTATAAATTTAAAATCTTTTTATGCCAAAAGTTCAACAGAAACTGTTTTATCATAACTTTTTCGAAGAAAAAATAAAATGTTCCCAAATTTATCATTTTAGTCAAATTACTATCTACTCAACATGTTTATCTTTTGTCAATAATGACATGTATTGACTATTTCCATTCTAAATATCTTTAAAACGGTTGCTTAAAGCGATTTTTACCAAGTAACATTTTTAACGTTGAAAATAACGGAAATGTATATTTTTTTACTCAGTAGTTTTATACAGGTATGGACGAAAAATTATTACTCTTAAAAACAGTTAAAACACATGTAGGTGGCGCCCTCTACAAATAGGAATCATATTGACATCAAAATCATCAAATTTCTCATGTCAAAAAACTCCCAAACACCAATTTTTATCCAAATATTGACGTTACTTCATAAATTATTTGGAAAAAATCGAAATAAAAATGAAATTTCTACACCCTGTATCTCCAAAACTAAGGATTTTAGGACATACATTTATTTATACGAACTTTCTTACTTATTTTTATCTGAAGAATATGCTGCCGAAGTTTCCGGAATACAGTTCAGACCACCCTGTATATTCTAAATCTGCATAAAATTTCCTACAAATACTGAAATTTTCATAATTTTTCATCCATGTTTGTTATTTTTCTAAGAGACTTGAAATGTTCTTCATTTTGGAACAACATTTTGGACATAAAGAAATGCAGAATTGAAAAGACATTAAATTATTAATTATTATTTAAGTTTCAAAACAACTTTACACGTATCAAAATTACCCAAACAAAAATTACAAAACAATAATTTGTGTGTATATTTAGTTATATTTTTCTTATAGATTTTAGTTACACATTTACGTCCTTACACGATTTGACAAAGGTCAGGATATCGTAAATCCATATTTCCCAGTAATTAATCACTGTTCCATTCATTCACAAATCGACTAAATACAATGACGTTAATGAAAGCTTTTCATCATTAATCTTCTATGAACGCATATAAAAAGTAATCGATAATGAAAATATACTTCATCAACGATTTAAGGAAATTAGTATAACTTTATAGAAACATCATTAGTTTTTTTTCAAAGTAAGATTTGGGAACCCTTGAAAGTTTGGCAACTTAAAACAGACACTTAATACCGTATGATTGAAAAAACGGCGTCCAGTTGGCTTGGAAATGAACATCGTCACAAATGACATGAATGTCGCTGTCATTTTACATATAAAATGATAGCAACCTTCATTTCATAGCCATCAATGACGCTTTTTTTCGATCATCTTATAGGTATTTTTGTAATCAATTACAAAAAAAGTCGAAATATACCAATAAACTGCAAATATCATCATTTCATTTATTAACGCTCTTGATAAAAAAAAATTCAAAAAAATTCTGAAAAACAGAGAACATGCATTTCAATGTTAATTAAAACACAATTACATTTTGTTTTTACCTTTATATTGTACCGGTAATCCATCAAAATATGTTTTTTTTTTAATTTCAATTTATTTCGCTACATGTACAAATGTCCTTTAGCTAATTTTAATTAACAAACAATCATATAATTGGACAGTTTTGATATTTGCTATGATACGTGATTGGAGAAATATACAATTTTTATTGCTTTTTATTTTATAAACATACCTACTAAGGAGAGTGAGGAAATAACTTAATATCAAATACCTTTAAACTATCAATAGTTTTATTAAATAAATAAATTTAGAAAAAATAACAGCTAGGTGTACCTAAATCATAAAAATTAATAAGAAATAATATACTCACTATTCACTTTATAATTTTAGAACTGTTCATACTTAAAACACTAAACAATTAATCTGATTAGTTCACATATCTCTTATTATTATCCATATTAATTTATATGATTTAGGATTAACACAAGTCAAAATCTCCTCAAATCAGCCTCAACCATCTCATCTCTTCGAACAACGTCTGCCCTATGACCGACGGGTAGGGTGCTATCTTCACCCCCACAGCCTCCAAAGCCACCACCTTGTCCTGAGCCTTCCCCTTTCCTCCGGAAATTATAGCCCCCGCATGTCCCATCCTCCTACCAGGTGGCGCAGTCAATCCAGCTATAAACGCAACCACCGGCTTGGCGCTAACACCAAAATTATGCTCTTTTAGGAACTCGGCAGCTTCCTCCTCGGCAGATCCTCCTATTTCACCGATCAGTACAATCCCCTTGGTTTCAGGATCTTTCAAAAATATATCTAGACAATCCACGAAATTGGTACCATTAAAGGGATCACCGCCAATGCCGACACAAAGCGACTGACCGAGACCGACTTGGGTAGTCTGGTGGACAGCTTCGTATGTCAAAGTTCCCGAGCGGGAGACTATGCCCACAGAGCCTTTCTTATGAATGAAGCCGGGCATGATGCCGATTTTGCATGCCTCTGGGTGGATGATGCCCGGGCAGTTAGGGCCAACAATGCGCGATTTTTGCTGGTGGAGTAGGCGGTACTTGATTTTGACCATGTCGTGTTGAGGAATGCCTTCGGTGATCACGACGATTAAGGGTATTTCGGCGTCAATGGCTTCGTTGATCGCTTTGCCAGCTCCTGGAATAGAAAAAGGTATTACTTTTCGTCATTTATCATATTCAAGAGTATCTTAAGACGGGTAATCAGGCCCGTTCCTGGGGTACCTGGCGCCTACGTGCAGCATTCTTTGGTGCGCCGTTTTTATATTTAAATCAATTATATATTTTAATCTTAATCTCAAAAATTTCTCTTGACAATACATGTATATTATTTCGTATATTTTGTATTTAAAAAAAGTATAAAAACATTTATTAAATAAATAAAACAAACAAAACCACAAATATTTAGTAACAAAAATAGTACCCTAAAGAAAAAAAACTGATCCATTTTATATGAAATACATAAAAACAATAAACTAAAATTCGGAAATAATACACATGTACTGATTTCTTTCGAAAATCGACAACTATGAAACTATGAACCCTTCCCCGACACAAACAGTACATTGTGAGACAGGAAATTGTAGAGAGAAACAAGCCCTATAACATAGGATATAACATTTTAATAAACAGTGTTTTCCATAGTATCAATAAAATGAAAAATATACAAAATAATATACATGTACTGATTTCTTTCGAAAATCGACAACTATGAAACTATGATCCCTTCACCGACACAAACAGTACATTGTGAGACAGGAAATTGTAGAGAGAAACAAGCCCTATAACATAGGATCAACATTTTCATGAACAGTGCTTTCATTAAAATCAATAAAATAAAAAATATACGAAATAATATACATGTACTGATTTCTTTCGAAAATCGACAACTATGAAACTATGATCCCTTCCCCGACACAAACAGTACATTGTGAGACAGGAAATTGTAGAGAGAAACAAGCCCTATAACATAGGATCAACATTTTCATGAACAGTGCTTTCCATTAAATCAATAAAATGAAAAATATACGTACATTGTACATTATACATTGTATAATATACATGTACTGATTTCTTTCGAAAATCGACAACTATGAAACTATGAACCCTTCCCGGACACAAACGGTACATTGTGAGACAGAAAATTGTAGAGAGAAACAAGCCCTATAACATAAGATACAACATTTTAATGAACAGTGCTTTCCATAAAATCAATAAAATACAAAATATACGAAATAATATACATGTACTGATTTCTGTCGAAAATCGACAACTATGAAACTATGAACCCTTCCCCGACACAAACAGTACATTGTGAGACAGGAAATTGTAGAGAGAAACAAGCCCTATAACATAGGATCAACATTTTCATGAACAGTGATTTCCATAAAATCAATAAAATACGAAATAATATACATGTACTGATTTCTTTCGAAAATCGACAACTATGAAACTATGATCCCTTCCCCGACACAAACAGTACATTGTGAGACAGAAAATTGTAGAGAAAAACAAGCCCTATAACATAGGATACAACATTTTAATGAATAGTGCTTTCCATAAGTCAATAAAATAAAAAATATACGAAACAATATACATGTACTGATTTCTTTCGAAAATCGACAACTATGAAATTATGATCCCTTCCCTGACACAAACGGTACATTGTGAGACAGGAAATTGTAGAGAGAAGCAAGCCCTATAAGATAGGATACAACATTTTAATGAACAGTGCTTTCCATAAAATGAATAAAATGAAAAATAAATAGATGAGATCAATGTGTTGCCGACAGATAGCCCTAGACTTGTTTATTCGGTGCGGCCAACGCAAAAAAGACGTTAAGCAATCTTTATCCTATGATGGTTTAAGTATTTGTTTATTGGCAAGAAAGCGTATCGGTTTTTTATTACAAAGTACTGATTGACCCTTTGATTTTGCGCCCCCAAAATGTTGCGCCTACATGCGTGCACGCGCTGCACGCTTGCCAGGAACGGCCCTGCGGGTAATCATCTGTCAGTGTCGTTGAAGAAGACAGAATGACTGATTCGAAGTTACTGGACAACTATTGAATCCGGAATGAACAAAATATAAGCCAAAAAACGTCCACTTTCCAGGAATGCATCAAAAGCGAAAAATTTGAGCGCCAAAGTATAGGCTTGGTGCATTCTCCGGCGGTGCTGCCACCATCCAAACAACTAAACAACTAGTAGGTACTTACAAATACACGGGTTTAAATAGCGAGAATACGGAAAATGTATTATTTAATTATTCTATAAGTGTTAGGAAGTATAATTTGTGAAAATTCTAAAAATTAAAATAAAAAAGTAAATATTTTGATATCTTCAGGTCTAACTTGTACTGTCATTTATAATTTCAATTAAAAAAAACTTTTTAGATGAGTTCAACTACGTTAGCGAGCATAATTTTAATCACCGGTTTTGCTAGTGGAGCATATTGGGATTGGGGCTATAACGAAATTTTTCTTTGTACGATTTTTAACGAGAACAAAAAAAACATTCTTTGTACGATTTTTAACGAGTCTAAAAAAATGTCAAGTGTTTAGTGTTCATTAATTGCAAAAAATTAAAATATCATTTTAGTGTATGTGTCCATATTAAACTCACCTGCAGGTGGAACAAATACAACAGTAGCTTCTGCCCCTGTAGCTGCCTTAGCTTCTTTAACGCTATTAAACACCGGCAACCCCAAGTGGGTTTTACCCCCTTTTCCTGGAGACACTCCGCCAACGAATTTAGTACCATAATCCAGCGCTTGTTTGCTATGGAAAGTACCCTGTTTCCCAGTAAACCCCTGGCAAATAACTTTCGTATTTTTACCAATTTTCAGGTTTTCTCTGGTAACATCATAACTATAAGTACGAATAACTCGTAAAACATACCGGTTTTTCTTAATAGTGTGATTAAAAAAGAATGTCATTGTCATTAATCAACAAATAAATATATTTGACAGTAAATTGTTTGATGACAACGGTTTTCAAAACAAAAAAAAACTAAGGAAATATTGGAAATAAACGTGACAACATCGCGTTAAAAGTCCACATAACCTTATCACAACATAGCCCGATTAGAATTATTACTGCTTTTTCTTTTGGTTTTTGTTGATTCATGTCTAATTTCTGTTTTAAAAAATGTTGAACACTAGTGTAGCTAATAGAAGATTCCAAACCTTGATGAAAATATTGAACACTGCTAAATCAGACTCAATAATAAATAGTACAAGGGCCTATGTAACTAAGGACAGTGTTGCAATAGGAAACATTCTTAAAGAGATCAAAGAAGTTAAATGTCCCTACTACGTACCAAGACTTTACTGTAAGTTCCTTAAAATATTCTAAATAACTTTTAATACATCAATGAATGTTTTTGCATATAGATACAGATGATTTACCTCAAAGTAGTCTTCATCATTTGAAATGGATGATGCAAAAAGATCTTTTGGGTCAGGATATGTTCCTTATAGGTCCTCCAGGACCTAAAAAGAGGTTTCTAGCAATGCAGTATATAGAATTAACTAATAGAGAACATGAATATGTTGCCCTAAGTAGGGACACCACAGAAAGTGATTTAAAACAACGTCGTGAGATAATTGGCGGTACAGCAAAGTATTTTGATCAAGTAGGTAGAACTTTTTGTTAAAAAAACTTATTCACTTATTCTAATTCAATTTAAAATATAAGAGTGCTGTAAAAGCTGCCACAGAAGGACGAATTCTGGTCCTTGAAGGTGTGGAAAAAGCGGAAAGGAACGTGTTGCCGGTTCTGAACAATCTTCTGGAAAACAGGGAGATGCATTTGGAAGATGGCAGGTTGCTTATACCCGCTGAAAGATACGATAAATTACTGAAGGTATGACACGATTTTTTTGCAGCTGGAGACTAAAAGAACGCGAAAAAATCGAGAAATTGTTTTTAGAAATACGGCATTGAGGATTTGGAGAGGTGGAAATTGGTCAGAGTTGACGAAAATTTCCGAGTGATTGCTCTAGGACTACCTGTTCCCAGGTAATTATAAATGAAACAATTTTCCTACTGTCCTAGAATACAAGACAATATTTCGGCACTACTTTTTTGAAATGAAACATATTATTATTATAAATAAAGTGATATAAAAATTATCACAAGTTTGGTAATTTTTATTGTTATGATTTTGCAATATTTGTTATCTTAAATTTCGGGATTTTTCCTAAAATACGCGACAAATAGTTAACAACGACAGCAGTGCCTCCACGTGAGTTTATATTACGTCGCCATCTCTTGAAATTAATGTAAAACATGCGACGGTAAGGAAACTGTATTATAGTTGTTTCGATATTTCAGTATAGATGGAGCCACAGATATTTAAATAAATTTTTATTAAAATGGTTTAGAGAAATGTCCATTTATTATTTATTACATAATGTTTTCTTTAGAAATATAATGAATGCAATAAAAATACTGATATTATTATTAACTCTTAGTTATGCTTTATAAATAGTGTTGTGTGCATTGCCTCTAGATGTAACAGTGCCTCAAAAATTTGGCGCTTAAATTTAAAAATTGGAAACTTTTGCAAAACATTTTTTTATCTTTGCAGATACAGAGGTAATCCTTTAGATCCCCCGTTAAGGTCTCGTTTTCAAGCTAGAGACATATCTTCAGCTTCATATCAGGTAAGATTAAGGTCAACTTTGTAATTGGCAATAATTAACAATATTTTTAAGCTATGATTTGTTTCATTCAACTAAAGTTTTTCTCGATATTATTTTTTTTAAAAATAGTACATTTTTTACTGCGTTTTGGCGAAATTTCAAAAACCCAAAAAGTACTACAAAATCGGTTAGTTTTATAAAAAAAAACATATTTTTTTGTTTGTAGTTATTCTGAAAATTAACCGTTTTATTTTAAAAATACAGAGTCATCCTCTTAGTCTTTTGTCTTGTATTTTTTTTCACATAACTAAAAATAGTGGAGTGCCCAGAGACTTTTACCTCGGAATTCAATTACTGTGAATGTATTAATGCAATTTTTACCAATTTTTTTTTCGTTGCTTTTAATTTTTTATTTTAGTAAATTCTTAGGTTTTTGCAAGGAGAACAAAAGTTTGTATTGAAATGAAATTTTGTTTGCTTGTGTAAGTCAATTTAAAGCATTTTCCAAAATTATATAGAGTTCTACAGGGTGTCCCCAAAAAAAGTTATCCCATAAAGGGGGCTTAAAGCACTCCACTAAAAATTTTGCTATTTATTTAATATTTCCGTATGCGGTGCTTAACAGCAAAACAAAAGTTTCAAAACAAATATGGTGAAGTGGAGAGTAAACATAAACAAACTCTCGTGACATTTTCCCCCATCACGTGGCCTCAGATCATCATCTAACCCCGAGCCGTATCGGTTGACAAGGTTTCGCGAACCGGAGCGCATCATCGATTCGCATCGGGGGGCATATCGCGTCGCCAGACGTTTCATTTTCTCTATTTCCTGTCGTCGTCAGTGTCGCTTGCACTGGGACACTTTCTGTGCGACCCAGTGGGGGTTGTGGCGACGCTCTAAGGGATAGAGGGTGTAGTGAACTCCAGGTGAGTATAATTAATTTAAAAGTTTGCTCTGTTTTGTCAATTCGTTTCCAGAAAATGGTTGGTTTTATTGTTGTTTTGTAGATTCTTTTCTTTTTATTAAAATTGTTTTTTTGTGCAAATAGCTTCATTTTTTAATATTCAAAATATATGACATTTATATTTTAACCTAACCTAACTGACAATTTTTTTTTCTTCTGTTTTATTTTTGTTTTGAGAAAATTTGATTTTTTTAATTTTATTTTTTTTTAATTTGATTTTTCTTAATTTTCTTTTACAATCTTTTTTAATAAATTTTTATTTGTAAAATAATTGTAATATGTGTATTCGTATTTTTTTCTGATTTGTTACTTTGCTGCATATCATAAGAGATAAATGCAATTTCATTTCGTTTTATCTTTTGTAACTTTTGAATTATCAATCATAAGATTTAAGCCTAGTTTTTTTTGTAATTTTAAAATTTTATTATATTTCTTTTGTGGTAAATTTATCTTAAATTTTGAAACTTTTCATATTTAAATTTTTTAGTAGGTTTCTATTTTTCTTAACATTTACTTTTTGCTGTGCACTTTAAATCTTGTTTTTATCAGCAATATTGTTATTATGCATTTTTATATATGTTATTATTATATATTTTAGCATTAAAACATGGGCATATTTTTTTAAATGCTGTCTAAATATCTTTATTTTTTTAAAAAATGTTGTTATTTCACATTCTTTTCTGTCCAAGTTTTAAATAATATTTAGTGTCTAAATATATATTATCATTTTTATATTAAATTACTGTGTCTCTTTTTTTATTATTTCATTAATGAAAAAATATTTTTTTTATCATTTTTGTATTTTTTTTCTATAAGTGCTTTTATTATTTATTCTCCTTTTTTGTTTCTTTTGATGTAGTTTTTTTATAACAATACGATTCAAATATGCAGCAGAATATCTGGTAAAATATAAACGGTTATATTTTATACAGGGTGAGTCTTAAAGAAGTGCAAATATTTTCAGGGCTGGTAGATCTCGACAAAAGAAATATATTTTCTCTTTTCCCCGTTTTTCAGATAAATCCAAAATAGCTGAGATATTTTTTGGTGAAAAAAAAATTTTTTGCTTAAATTTTAAGAAACGCTGGATTTTTTCTTTCCTCTAAATTCCGAATATTAAAAAAAATTCCAGTTTTTTTTCGAAAAATACATTTTTAAATCAAAAATTTCCAGTAAAAAAAACTCATAGACATATTTCTGTGACCGAAATATACCGCCCTTAAAAATATTTGCACATATTTAAGACTCACCCTGTAGGATGTCACCGATTCATATTTTTTATTATATTATGGAATAGCTATTAATATATTACAAACTTTTTGAATTATTTGATATCGCGAGGATATTTTTTTTCAATCACACTATAAATTTTATTATAGTTTTGGCTTAAATGGTACCACCACGAGATACATATCGACCTATTGCTGCCAAAAGTCACTAACTAACATTTTTCCGAACAACCAAATTCAATCACTAACTATGTTTTGAATCGGAGAATCGATTGCAAAAGTCATTAACTACGATTTCTGGCTATTTATGTTTTATTTTAATACCGAATAGTTACTATAGTCTATAAAATGAATAACTTTGAATTTTGACCGTTATTTTTTACCAACATGGCAAATATAAAATACCTCTGTCAATAAAGTTATTGATATTCTTTAAATTAAGTGACTGAACGAATCAGATAGGTAACTCCAGGTAACTCTAGAATAAGAAATAGAAAAGGAAAATTATAAAACAAGTCACAGTTCTGCCTCTTCTTGCAAAAATCAACACGAAATGGCATTTCTAAATATCAGTCCAATGCCGTCTCTAATAGAACAGCCACGGAGCGAGATTTATGACGTCACGCTAGTTAGATCCTACGGATTAATAAATATGTTGTAGAATACATGGAAAACATAATTATTCCTCGTGTTTTTGGTTTGTATTTTAAAAATGATATAGTTTACATGAAATATACATAATATACAGTTAATAAATACAATATATTATATACCTATTTATAGTAATAAATACTTTGGCAAATAAACTATGAACTATACAAATGCAGCAAATGTTTTACAATATACAAATAATGAATAGGTACATAAGATAATGGGTAAAATGTAAAATATATTTTAAATTTTGGTTTGAAAGTCGATTTAATTTAACAAAAAAACATTCAATATCTACTAATAGTGATGTATTATTATTTGCATTCACAAAATTTATATGTATATTGTGCAAGTATTAATGTTCGAAAAATTATATTTGCCAATAAAACAATATTATAGAAAAAAAGGCGTCAGAGATGGCTATGAAATAAAGATCGCAGTCATTTTATATGTAAAATTATTCTAAAATTTTTGATTTTCTTGGGATTTAGGTTCGGGAAAAACGCTGATTAAGTTTTCATTTGGTTTTTCATTATTTTTTTGGTTTAAAAAAAAAAAAATCATATGACACAGCATTGAAAAAAAACGTTTCGGCTAACATTATAGCCTTAACGTTTTTTTAGCGTTTTTATTTATTAACTGTATATATATATTTTATATTAACTTATTTATATTAACTATTTATATTAACTGTATATTATGTATATTTCATGTAAACGAAAATCTAGGATCTAGTGGGGTTGCAGTCGGTGTGACTGCAACCCCACTAGATCCTAGATTTTCTTTCTTTCTAGTCAGTCGAGACTACTTTCGGCTTTCATGTAAACTATATCATTTTTAAAATACAAACCAAAAATACGAGGAATAATTATATTTTCCATGTATTCTACAACACATTAATCTGTAGTATGTAAAGCGTGACGTCGTAAATCTCGTTCCGAGGCTGTTCTATTAGAGACGGCATTGCGTCAGAAACACATCTATGAGGCTTTTAAAAAAAATATATTTTGGTAATATGGCAACATAGACTGAATTCCAATGGTTCCCAATTTTTTTTAATTTTCAAAGTGAAATAACTCGGTTATTTTGGACTTATTTGAAAAACGACAAAGATAAAATATACTTCTTATATCGAGATCGAGATCTACCAGCTCTGAAAATATTTGCACATATTTAAGATTCATCCTGTATAAATTTTTATAACTGGATATTTATTTACTTATTAATTTCTTTATATTTCTTCTGTTAAAACAACTAGTATATATATTTTTTATATTGAATAAATTTATACAATTTTCAGATACTATTCCCGACCTTAAACTAAAGCGAATGCTGTTCCTCGAAAATATATCCCGAAATGGTGACTCACTGGGAATCTAGCCAACGTCCCCTTTACATCAGGACCATCTGGAAAGACGGGCAACACCATGTCATCTTTGACAAGTCCAAAGAACGTCCCGTTGACTTCGTACCCTTCAAAAACACTTCCAGATCCCAACCTGGTCGTAGAACTTCCAAAAGTGCCACTGTAAAGATGTCCTCCATGAAAGTGTTACTGTCTGGCGTAGCCAGATTCAAAAGTGTCGACCAACCCGCTAGAAACAAAGAAGATGGTATAGATTTCATGGTAACTCCTTTATCCAATCGTCCAGTTACATCCAAGAAGGAGATGGTCCTAAATTCTGTCCAAGGCACTCGACCTCCAGGTCTGTGTAAATTAGCAACCATAGATTCTGGATTTGGGGATTTAAAAACTACCGAACAACCAGTTTTTGTTCCTAACAATCCCCTAAGTGATAAAGTATTGGTTTGGCTGGATTTGGCTACCCAGTCTGGCAATATTGATAAAGAAGTGGCTCCTGTAAGGGTGATTCCGATCCATATTTTGGAGAAATCATCCAGAACCAGTCCAGTATCACCTCAAGAGCTTGCAGATTCATCCATACTGAAACAAGTAAATGATAATAACGCTTCTACAGAAGTGATAGTGTATAGTAAACAGGAGATACAAACTCAGGAAGAGGATTTCTATCATGTTTTGACACCAAGAGTAGGTGAGGATAGTGTATGTAAAGAAATTATGGATGGGAAGAAAGATGGTAAAGATATGATTGCCAAGAGACAGCTGCATATTTTTATGCCCAATCTACCCAAGAAGAGCAGCGAGTGTGATAGTAGTTTGTTAAGTAGTTTAATTTCTAGTAGGCTAAGCTAAAAATGTGTTGATTGATTAGAACAAAATACTTTTAACATCTTCTAAAAAGAAATAAAAAGCAGTTTCAAATGTACAGGGTGGTCGAAATTGGTCTGTTTTAACAGAGAAAACCTATTTCCTGACTAGATATAGCAAAACCGACATAGATGTCATAGGCTCGATTTCTGAGAAACGTTTAATGGCGTAAACCGCCTGTTGTTATTTTCACTGCCCACCGAGATATGTGGTCTTTTTGATTTTTTTACCATTTGGAAAATTGCCCATAACTTTTGTATGTCGCGAAATAATAAAATTCTGTAAAAACGTTCTTAAGGCACTTTTTTAACCACAATCCAGTGGCGTAGTCAGTTTTTTTTCTATGCTTGCTCTTTTTATCAGAAATAATGAAAAATATAATTTTTTAAATGGAAATTATAGGTGATCTGGTGTAATAAGACCAAAAGCTTGCCTAGTAGCCTTCTGTAATTCTTATCTCGTCCCAATGGTTTTTTCCTTACATATATGTAAGGCCTTTTAATTTCCTCCATAAAAAAGGTGGAAAGGGGTTACATCACAGGATCTAGCAGGCCAAGATATGGGATCCCTTGTTCCATTCCAATTTTCTCTAAATTCTCCATTTGATAGTGCAGTTGTAACCCTGGCTTTTTAATTGTAAATGGTAATACTAATATAGAACGTTGATTTACCTTTTCAAAAGTCTTTAATTATGCATTATCATGTATAAATAATGATATAGAATATTAAATTGTGATAAAAAAATAATTAGGCAACTAGGTTCACACAAAATCAAGGCCCGCTTCGATACAAAGATAAAAAACCTAATATTTCTCTCAGTCTTAGAAATAGATACACATAACTTTATATCGTTGGAAAGGGTTAAACAACAACAAAATTTTTTAAGTTAACAGCCAACTATGATTTCTATTTAAAAAATTATTTTTTTTATTATTTCTGAGAAAAAGAGCAAGCATAGAAAAAAACTAACTACGTCACTGGATTGTAGTTAAAAAAGTGCCTTAAGAACGTTTTTACAGAATTTTATTATTCCGCGGAATAAAAAAGTTATGGGCCATTTTCAAAATGGTAAAAAATTCAAAAAGACCCCGTATCTCTGATGGCAGTGAAAATATCAACAGGCGGTTTACACCATCAAACGTGTCTCAGAAATCGAGCCCATGACATCTATGTCGGTTTTGTTCTATCTAGTCAGGAAATCGGTTTTCTTTGTTAAAACAGACCAATTTGCCCAAACCAGAAACCAAACCCAGTACATGGAATCAATTCTGCCTGTCCAATAATAGAAATATTTCATAGAAAGACATAAGTATGTCAAAATATGTGTCATGTAACAACTATCATAGTGACAAATTACAAAAATTCTTTTTAAACTTTTTCAGCATGTAAAAAGTAGGGTTAGATGGCAAGGGATAAAAAATATCAAAGAGAAAATCTGCTAAGTATTTGGCTACACCATGACTAAATAATTAAATTATATTTGCCGGAAAAACGTATTTTTTGTATTTTTGATTAATTTTAAGGTAGGGTATATAGAACAAATAAATGATTCCGAATATTAAACAAGAATTTTTTAATGCTTTTTCAATGTCATGAACGAAAATTATTTTTAGATTTTGTTTGTATAATGTTCCAATAATACCTTTATCAAACCTGTCATCTAAATTGGGTTTCATATAAATTGGATGTCTTTATTTTTGTGACATATAGACCTAATATTATATTTTATTTCGAATGTATATTATTAATTTAATAAAAATTTAATATTAAATAGTTTTGCTTTAATGGATATACCTATAGTTCATATCAAATAAACTTTTAGTCGCGTGATTAAGCTTGACCGGCACAGTGTTGCCCACTTTTACATATTTTCTTTTAATCAAAATATTTTAGGAAGCAAAAATAAATTACTTCTAAATATATAAACAGATATTATTTACATCAACAAAACTCATCTTCTTAACAGCACTTAAACTGGGACATAAAAGGCCATTACTACCACTTTTTCAAAATATTCTAATAAAGTTGTGATGAGTTTTTTACGACTATTAAGCTTTCTTGAAACAATAATTCGAGAAGGAATGAGGCACCAGGGAAGCAATGTTTGGCCTGTCTATTCTCTTACAGAAATGTAGAGACCAACAAAAAGACGTAGACATTTGTTTCATCGACTACGAAAAGGCCTTTGATAAAATAGAACACACAGTGCTGTTTAACATCTTGCAAGAAAAAGGTTTAGACAAGAACGATATCCAATTCTTAAAAACACTATATTGAAATCAAACAGCATACATAAGGTTAGGGCAAGACGAAACAAACGAAATACCAGTACAACGTGGAGTTCGTCAGGGATGTGTACTGTCTCCCTTATTGTTTAATATATACTCCTGATATATATTCCATAAGGCCCTACAAGATAAAGGCATTGGCATAAAAATAAATGGCGTCCAATTAACAACCTTAGGTATGCAGACGATACCGCGATTATCGCTGACAACCCTGAGACTCTTCAAGAACACCATGAGACGGTTGGAAGCTTTTGAAATGTGGATCTACAGAAGACTCTTGAAAATACCCTGGACAGATCATGTACACAATAAAGAGGTTCTTGGGAGGCTTAACAAGGAAAGGGAATTAATTGCAAATATAAAAAAATCGGTAAAAAAACTTTTAAGTTAAACGGTTTTATCTTATGTGCACTGAAAACTAGAAAATAATAATAACAATTAGGTATTTTGAACTTCTAGTTCAGAAATATTTTAGTACTAGGCAGAATAGCTTTTAGGCATATTAGACTAAAATAAAAACGTGGGGCCCCTCTGAAATCCTACCTATGGCAAAGCATATCTTTATACTTTGGTAGATCATGAGCTCGGCGTTCGCTGGTGAAGCCGCCACGGCTGGTTATTGATTGTCAAAATCTCCAGTTACGATTATAGTAAGTCGATCTAATCCACACTTAGTATAGAAGAAAATATTACAGCAATAGTTAATGGGCCCCACGTTTTTATTTTAGTCTAATATGCCTAAAAGCTATTCTGCCTAGTACTAAAATATTTCTGAACTAGAAGTTCAAAATACCTAATTGTTATTATTATTTTCTAGTTTTCAGTGCACATAAGATAAAACCGTTTAACTTAAAAGTTTTTTACCGATTTTTTATTTTCTAGTTTTTAGTATTTAACGGAAATGCCTACCGAATATTCCTCATTCTATTTAATTCATTTAGTGCATCATTATTACATGGTTTTTTACCTGATAATTTATTACAATCTGACGCTCAGGTGTTTCTGACGCTAACAACTCTCTCTCTCTCTCTCTCTGTCGCGTTCTGATGCTAGCCTAGACTCATGACGCTCAGGTGTTTCTGACGCTAACAACTCTCTTTGTCTCTCTCGTTGTGATGCCAGCCTAGACTCATGACGCTCAGGTGTTTCTGCCGCTAACAACTCTCTCTGTCTGTCACGTTGTGATGCTAGCCTGGACTCATGACGCTCAGGTGTTTCTGACTCTACCAGCTGCCTTTGTCTCTCACGTTGTGCTATTAACCTGGCATCATGTTGCTCAGGTGTTTCTGTTGCTAACCGTTCTCTTCGTTTCTGTAGTCGACTATAGGTTTCATTTTCACTTTCTTTTGCACGTTTCGTTCTATACTTTTCTTTCGCCTTTTCGAGCCTTTTTCGTTGTGTAGCAGTTTCGTTTTTATTTTTGTTTGTTTTTTTAATTATTGTTTCCATGTTGTTCCCACGAGTAATGGACATTTTAACGGTCGACCCCCAGAGGTTCAGTAGAGGGGCAAGGCTATAATATACAACAAGAGGCGCCCAATCTTGAGGGGAAAACGCTTGCGACATTACATTTTTAGCCACCCTAATGCCATACAGTCTTCAGCACGTTTTAACCTATTACCTTGACTTGGGTGGCAAAGCTACCGCTAACTACGTAGGTACATCTAATCACCTATTTTTTTTATCTGTCCTTCTAACGTCACACAATCTTGGACTCAACTGTTCTGGACACGACTACTCATGCCCTCACCTAATACGCCATTTTGTAACGACGTCCATCATGGATTTAAATTTTGTCATAATCACAGTATTCTACTAGTGTGGCCCTTTCATTTGATACTCATATTGAGGAGGTTGTGGAAAAATATGAAATCCGCCATTTTGTACCAGCGGCTATATATAATATTGTATTGTCATCGGAACTAAAGGTGTGTACCAAATTTCAGATCAATCTGACAACAGGAAGGTACTTAAATTTCAATTTCTAATTTTGACCCAAATAAACAAACAAATAAATAAATACCACACGGGTCGAGCTAAATAAAACCGTTTAAAAAACGAAAAACAGCATACCTAGGCCATGCCATGCGCAGTAGCAGAGCAAATCTTCTGAAGTTGATTATAGAAGGAAAGGTAGAAGGCAGAAGAAGACTTGGGAGACGAAAGCACTCTTGGTTGAAAAACTTATGAGACTGGACTGGACTGAACTCACACGAACTGTTTCGAGCAGCACAGGATAGACAGTGTTTCGCCGCGATTGTTTCCAACCTTCATTCGAAGATGGTACTATAAGAAGAAGAAACAATTCGCACTAAAATATGTTTTAAAAAGAACAATGTTCGACTGCAAGGTCTGCTAGTAAAAAAATTTAAGCTTAAATTATCACAAAACAATTCATTTAAACCAAAAACTCGCAATACAAAACTAAAGTGTCGAAACGAATGACAATGTCAGAAAATAAATAAATAAATGTGGCAACTTGACATGTTTTACAGCAGAGGTACCACCTGAACCCCAGCGGAAAATTTAAATTCCAGTTAGGCAGCCCGGCGCCGAACAATAATTCAATCAATTAGGTAATGGGTGGCAAGATTGAATTTAAAAATCGCGCTCTGGATTACGTAACTAAAAGTTTAATTGGCATGGAATATATGTAGTTACAATATAGTATATTAGAGGATATAAATCTCTGTATTTTGACATATTCCAAAAA